CTGTGTTTAGCCATGGAGAAAACTCTTGGCTGGAGACAATTTTGGTTACATTTACACTTGCTCATATTTTCCAGACAAAAAGTTAATGGCGCATCTCCCAAATGTCCCGGCCGCAACAACGCTTTTATTCGTTCCGCTATCGGGACGGAACCAATAATGGCGAGCCGCTATTTCTTTTTTTATATATATATATAAAAAAAGGCAATTTTAACGTTTTGTTTAGATTACAAAAATAAATCGTAATAAAAATTATCCTATTTATAATGTTTTAAAAATTAAGACCTACGAAAGACTGATTTAAGACATTTTAATACCAATTAAGGCCTTAGTTTTATTTTGAAGAATTCAATGCCTTTTAAAAGACTTTTTAAGGACCCGTGGGGACCCTGTAATATGATAGAAAACAGAATATTCTTTCTTGCTTTTAGGACAGTACTACAGCTGTTAAAAAGCTCTGAGTCTCTTTTAATCTGCTGCTAAAACTGATCTAGGCTGGCCTGAATTATTCATATTTCTTATTAGCTGCACAAAGCTGCTCTTAGTGTTGAACATATCTTAAGGAGGGATAAGTTGATGTCTTTCTTTGTGTTGAATTAGACACAGTTTGATCATAATACCCAGCTGAGGCTGGGACTTGTATTTGGGATGTATTTAAAGAGAAGAAGAGATTAAGCAGAGATTTTAAGGCAGGGCTTCTTTATCCCTGAGGCATCTCAAATCTGCCTTTGGCTCCAATCCCTTCCCCACCCTACTCTGAAAAAATAAATAAATAAAATAAACAATTGTAATAAATTGATTGTCTTAAATCCATGTATATATCCTTCTTTTTGTAGACTTTGTAAAGATCTCCATCTAGTTCTCAAATTAGATGTCATCCTCACTGATGTGTTGGATTTCTTGGTGTGAAAAACAGCAGAGAGGTGAGAGCAGCACAGAGGAGAGGAATGTGCAGCTTCTTCTCAGTCATCCGTCGATTATTGAATGATTTTCTTTTCTTTAGAGGTTATTAGTTGTAATAAGAGATCCAAAACAATCATTGTAGCTTGTTTCTGAATCCTAAACTGAGTGGAAACCTAAAATCAAGGGGTTGAACCCTCTATAAGGTTATACGTTTTTATTTTTTTTTTAGGTTTTTAGCAGGATATTTCTAGATGTACGGAAGAGGATTAGGGCCACTGGAAAAAAAAAAAAAGAAAGAGTTAACCGTTTTTAGATTTTATTTCAGTTTAGTATGGGAAAAAGTCAGAATTCTGACTTTTTTTTCCTCAGAATTCTGACTTT